GATAGTGTTTAACACATACTCTTTGAACCACACTCTGTCTAGTAGTGGACATTTACTGGCCACCTATTGGCCATGGTTTGGAAGCTGGCAGAGGTATAAGAACTAAAACAGGAATGGTCAAGGACTAATGATGATTTAAAAAATAAATGAACAGAAATTTAGAAATCATATGTAAACACAGATGTGCTTGAGCTCATCTTTGAACAGGACAGAATAATCAACCAAGGGAAAAGAAGAAATAAGTTTTTATTATCTTGAAAAGAGTACACTCTTAACACATCAAGAGCTATTAAACACTGATTCTTTCTAACCAGAAAACCACATAGAAGAATATGGACTCAGCAACTGACAGTGACTAAAAGACTGATAGACTGATATGTCTTTCCAAATCTCTTCATCCTCCCTCATGCATTATTTTCCCAGCTCAGTTATCATCTGCAATCTTAATCATAACAACAGAAGTAGACATTGGAAGAAAGTTTTTTTCCTACTTATCACAGAACTCAAATTGCTGCTGAAAGACTTGGTCTAAGAAAATGTAATAGTTTTCACTGAATCATAATCGCAGAACACTAGGTGCTCAAAGGGACCTAACAGATGACTCAGTTCCAGTCCCATTCCATGGGCAAGGAAGGTCACCTTTCACTAGACAGGTTCCTAGGGTTCCATCCAACCTGACCTTGAACACCTCCAGGGATGGGGCATCCACAGCTTCTCCAGGCAGCCCATGACAGTGCCCCACCACCCTCTGAGTCAATAATTTCTTCCTTATATCTAACCTAAACCTACTTCCTTACAGTTTAAATCTGTTACTCCTTGTCCTGTTCCTACACACCCTGATAAAGAGTCCCTCTCCATCTTTACTGCAACAAGACCTTCCCAGAACTTTCTCTTCTTGAGTCTGAATAACTCAGTTCTCTTAGTCTTTCCTCACAGGGGAGATGCTCTAGCCTTTTTGTGGCCCTCCCCTTGACCTGCTCTAACAGATCCATGTTTTTCTTGTCCTAAATGCCCCCAAGATGGAAGCTGTACTCCATGTGGGATCTCAGAAGAGCAGAGCAGAGGGGTACAATCACCTCCCTCAACCTGCTAGCCACACTTCTTTTGATACAGCCTGACCCAGGACAAATCCTGAATGTCTGAATGGAATATGATTCGGGAAGAAAACTATTTGCTTCCACTAACAGCTGCTATGTTATGAAACTCTTGGACCAAAGGCCAAGCCTGTCAGCAGTGGGCCACCCATTTCAAAGCACCAAACCTTACACTGGCATGTAACTGAAGTTAGCAGCTGCATTAGCCAACAGCACCTCAAGCTATTTTTCCTCCAAAATAGCTTGAATTAAACCTGGTAACACTAGCCCTCGACAGCCTACGAGCTGACAACAAATTCTGTGGGCTCCCACTCCATTCTGAGCTCTACAACCTTTCTTGCACTTCAAAGCAGTGCAGTAGGAAGGAGATGCCAAACAGTTATGGAAAGAGACAATCAGACTTAGATATGTCAGCTAAATTCTGATTAATCACAGATATTAGTGGCAGTCTGTGCACTTCATGGTATCATGATAGTATCCTCTACCAGAAACCCAGTTAAAACACATGCCATAAAGTAAGTGCCTCAAAAAAAGGAAAAATGGATGCAGCTCCAGCAATGGAGTAGTGCACTTAAGCAAAGGTCCTCGTACTTCTCCCTTGTTCTCACAAGTGCTTCCTTCAGTCAGCTAAGCTCATTTTGAGACCAAACATTTCAGGACAAACCAAGATTTGAAGCATGATGATCTAAGCTAGAGAAGGAAAAATGATCCAAGTATGCCACAGAGGAGAAATACCTTCCAGACATGAACATAATTTAATTGACTTTTACAATGTAAAGATTCCAAACTGAAGAATATATATAAACATAGGTTAGAACGTTCCTGAAAACCACAGTTAAGTAGGCAGTCAGCTAGAGTCTGCTGCAAAACCTGAGGCTGTGCTAATGTGGGGCCTGATTATCACCTCTTTGCAGAGCAAATTCCAATTCTGCCACACATAAAGTTGGTTCCTAAAAATAAAAATCCCTTTCCTAGAGCCACTTACATGCGTTTCCTTTCCACAGGAAAACAGTGGAATCAGCAATTGCTCTTGCAAGACTGAGCTGAGTACACAACATGAATAATACATCACATCAGAAACTCACTGGTATACTTATTGACCTCTGCTGTTTCCATGCTTGTGTCTACTGTAGATATAATTAATTGGAAAAAAAATTAACACAATAGAGAAAAAGATGAGAGCAGAATATAAGACCACACAGGAAAAACACAACAGTTCTCTATTTAGGAGCTTGGAATCAGCTCTCAAATTAAACTGCGATCAAGAGGAATTCACCTTTTTGTTAGCAGCATCAGTTCACATTCACAACAGCTTCTTAGAAAGCAGCTGAGAAATATCTTCATCATATAAATTTTATCAAAGTTGCTCTGATAACACAATTACTTTTATTAACCTCCTTATTCAATCAGATCAACAAGAACCATCAACTAAATATAAAGTAGTAATGTAAATGTTTCTTATAATTTTACATTAGGTAAATTTTTTTTACAGCAGGTAAAAATAAAAAATGGTAAAATGGTGATGGTAAAAAATAAAATATATTTAGTTGAAGGTAAAAATAAGAAAGGACCTGAACTAGAGTATACCCAGTAGTTTCTAACAGACTGGTAACAAGAGATAATGCAGCCTTTGAGTCAGAGTGTGACTTTGTTAAATGTTTTGCAGTGATTATAACTGTCAGTGTTCTACTAGAAATAATTCCAAACTTTTTAGAAGAAAATAAATCTTGAATCATTTTTCCCTACAGAAAAATTGCTTTGTTTCTAATGGCATTTCTGAGGAAATACACTTTCCTTTTAGGAAGAGAATTAACATATCAAACCAAGATTTTCAGAAACTCTCAGTAATTTTGGGAAGCCTATTTGTAGGAGCACACAAACTTTATATCTGTAATAACACAAGATTTTCCTATTCACAATTAGCAGTCCTGTAGGAAAAATAAAGTCGAAAGGTACCGCAAAACTGCGAACAACATTTTTGATAAGTATTTGATCACTGCCTAATAAAAATATGATACCAGTCTCAAGAACATGGGAAGCACTTTCCCAGTTGCCCACAGGAGTCTACTTTTAAGGAAGTCTGCTCTGCCTCTTTCACTCCCATTTGGGTAAAGCAAGAAATGGCAAAACACAGGATAGTGGACAGCCAGAGAACTTCTGTTTCCCAGGTGTAACCTTTCGCATAAAAAAACTCTTATTTGAAGACATTAAATGTAATTTTACATTTTCTATGTTATTCCATGAAAGGAATTTTCATTTCCACAGTAACCAGGATTCAATCTGAGAGAAAAAACAAGATAGATAATTAAATTTCAAGGGCTACCAATAAGGCATAATTCTTCCTTTTGTCATTGCTGTGAAATATATAATGCCATAATAATTTGTAACACTGAGAATAGAGACAATCCTGAGAGGAAAAAAAACTAAATCAGCCCAGAAGTTTTCACAGGTTAGTGTGAAAAACAGGCAAAAAAAAACTAATCCAAGTGAACTACAGTATAATCTATTTCACTTAGCATAAAGTCTTTTGTAAACTTGACTTTTAATATCCTGCAGCGCCAATCAATTTAAAGCAGAAATCCTCAAGTTTATAGTTCTATTAATAAACCCTCCAACAGTTATCTTAAATGCATCACACTGCCAAAGCAACATACACAGTATTTATTCCAAAACAAGATCAAGCTTCCTTTTCCTGAGGTTACCCTAAAAAAATATTTTATTGGGATATCATATTCAAGTTAAAAGAATCAAGAACCAGAATTCAAACAGACACAAAACAGCAGGCTGAGTTTGATGCTTTGTGGTACAGCAGTGTCCACACCAAACAGAAGAACAAGGGACCAGAGGTCCCAGCAGCTCCTGGCAATACTCCAACTCAAGCAGGGCTGCAGCACACACTGATGCTGCTGTCTTTGCTATTATTTGTCACCCTTGATTCCCACAGGTACGGCATATGCTGCTTCATACATGTTCCTTCTTAGAGGTAAGCCAACTTCTTTCCAACCATTAGAAACTGTACGCTATTACAGAAATAGCTTACCCTTTCTATAACTATAGAAGGTATAAGGTAAAAGGTACTTTGCCACTGCACAGGGTAAAGGCTTCCCTAGGCTGGTCATGTTACAGGGGCAAAAGCATTGAAATACTTAACTAGCAGAGATTCAAATAAGTTTATATGAAAAACCTAAAAGCCATCCAACACGATTAAAAATCATGGAGTTCACACAGAGAAACAATGGCCTACAGTATCTTTGTTCTATGGAGAAATTGGAGTCCCTTATGAAAGAATCACTGGTACAAAAGCTAAAACCTGGAAATGTGGCTTAGCATGTCACTGTACAACAGTTCATGCAGTGGCTGGAAGCAAGGCCACAGTGTCTGCTTATAGATACTGGAGCAGAACTGCACCACCCGGGGCTTAACAGGAGGACTCAGAGGATGCAGATTAAGAAATGCAGATTTTTGAGATATTTGGAGTATGACACTGCATCATGCAGAATGAGAGATGGAGGTTATCTTGTATTCAGTATAGACTCCCTAAAATGACAACAAATAATTTATCTTAACCTGTACTTTGTGGACCTGGTGTTATTTTCTGTTTCTGGGAACTGGAGGGATATCCTCCAGCACAAGCACTGTGTTTTATGTCAGTCTTTCCAGGACCCATAATGACATGGGGATACTGCTTGCTTGTCAGCTACATGGCATTTATACCACATACCTGCCAATTAAAGTAGACCAGATCTGTACAGCAAAGAAAAAACAATCAAAATAATAGAAAGAATAATATATCCAGCTCATATATTTTGTACAGTGCTTCCCATAGAACAAACAAATTTTGTCAATAGTCACATCAGCTATAGTATTGTTTTGGAGATTAAAAGCATAACAAAGATGAGAACTGACCTCTTAGTGCCAAACATGATGCAAAGGAGAGCTTGATTCACATTTATAAATTCACTGCTCTGCACAAGCTGTTTCTGTTGACCTGGATAAAAAAAGAAGAGATTTTTAGACTAAGTGACTCAGGACCATGATTTTAAAATCCTGAGCAATAATTACATTAGTAAATACTGCCCAGTGCAGCTCTAAGGCTGCATATACATACGCAAATATAGAATACCTGTCAGTTTTACAGAAATATATAGATAGGTTATCAAAACAAATACAATTTAATGTTAACAACAATGACCAAAAAAAAAAAAAAAAACCACAAAACAAAACAAACAAACAAAAGGATAAGGTTATGAAACCTAAGAACAACTCCTCCTGCTGGTAGGGCTTAAGCCTACTGTAAAGGCAGTTACTGGGCACAAAGCTTCAGTATATTGATTTTTGGAAGGGTAACATCTGAAAGCCCCTGTCCTCTAAATGGAGAATTCATCTGAGTGAGTGAAATTCAGGTGCCTTAATGCAAGTAAACAAGGTCACCATGAATTGCTGATCTAAACACGGACATACAAATTTACATCTAAATTGCATTTTGATGTTCAGTTTGTTCAATGACTACCTTGGTAAATTAGTATTTTTTCCAGAAATGAACCATTAATATGAATAAGAAATGTCCTAAGATGGGTCTATTGAAACCCAATGACCTCAAGAAATCCTCAATTTTATGTTCACTGCCTCTTAGCCTATCACTGTGAACCTTCAAGAAAATTCTAGCTCGATCTTCTCTATATCCACCACACTTGCTCATGGGACTAAATATCCTCACCATCTCTTCTCAAGGCTGAGATGATTCAGCACTCCAGCCTCACCTTGTATGCCAAGTGCTACAGCCCCCGGTCACTGTGTTTGGTCTCCATATGTTGACATCCTGCCATTACTGGGGAGCCCAAGGCTGATCACAGAACTGCACAGTCCGCCTTGTAAATATGATAGTGAGGAAAGAACATTTCCCTGACCTTCTGGCTGCATCCTTACTCACATAGCTAAGGATGCAGATGACCTTCTTTGCTGTCAGGACACCCTGTTGGCTTGTGCTCAAATCACTGTTCACAAGAGAACTCAGATCTCTTTCAGCCGCACTGCTTCACAAGTTCACAGCCTGTCCTGTTACAGAGGGTTATTCCATTCCCTGGGCAAGACCTTGTATTTGCTTTTGCTGAATTGTTCTTGTCGGTCTATTTCTCCAATCTGGTTAAGTTTCCAAGTAGCAGCAGTTCTCTCCAGCACACTGCCCACAAAAACTGCTGATTTGCACTCTATCTTCTCACTGGTATCATTAATGAAGGCACCAACAAGTTCTGGTCTCAGTATTGAACCCAGAGGGGCCACACAAGTTACCGGCTGAGCATCTGCTGTTTTTCAGCCATCAGGAGCCTCTCCCAGCCACCATGATTTTCCAAGGCAAGAGAGCAGCCTCTTAGAATCACAGAATCACCAAGGTTGAAAAAGACCTCCAAGATCATCCAGTCCAACCATCCACCTACTACCAATATTTCCCACTAAACCACGTCCCTCAATACAAAATCTAAATGTTTCAGGAACACCTCCAGGGACGCTGACTACACCACCTCCCTGAGCAGATTGTTCCAGTGCCTGACCACTGTCAGAGAAGTATTTCCTAACATCCAACCTGAATCTCCTCTGGAGTAACATGAGGCCATTCCCTCAAGTCCTATTGCTAAGTTACACGGGAGAAGAGAACAACCTCCACTCACCACAACCTTCCCTCAGGCAGTTGAAGAGAGCAATAATGTCACCCCTGAGCCTCATTTTCTCCAGACTGAACAATCCCTCAGTCACTTCGTATAAGACTTGTGCCCCAGACCCCTCACAGCTTTGTTGCCCTTCTCTGGACACGCTCCAGGGTCCTGATGTCTTTCTAGTAGTGAGGGGCCCAAAACTGAACATAGTACTCAAGGTGAGGCCTCATCAGGGCTGAGTAATGACAGCCACTTCCTCCAACATCCCGGACAACATCCCATCTAGTCCCATGGACTTGCAAACATCCAAGTGAGGTCCCCAGCTCTACGCTGCAGATACAACAATATCCCTGCAGATACTGCTTCCCTCCCACAGACTCTGATATAAGCCTAGGGACCCGGGAGGCCTGAGGACAAACTTCAGCACTGAAATCTGAGGCACAAAAAGCACCGAGTGCTACAGCTTTTTCACCACACGGCCACACTGAGCTACAGGTTCACGCTCTCTTTGCCTTCCCTTCTGCTGCTGATGTACTTACAGAAACCTTTCTTCTTGTCCTTAACCTTCTTTGCCAGTTTCAATTCCAGCTGAGCTCTGACTATTCTGACTGCACTGCTACTGTTCCTGTACATCTCATATTCTTCCAAGCAGCCTGCCCCCGCTTCCACCATCTGTGTCCTTCCTCTTTGGTTTTCTCTTTGAGCTCCTTTACACAGATTGCACCCCCTCCTCCTGCCTTGCTCATGTCCTGTACCCACTCACTGATTTCTTAATGTAAATGTGCAATCTAAATACAAATGTTTTGTTAATCAGAAACGAGCTATGATTACATGATCTTGACTGACAGGAGGATTTTTGGCTACAAACTCTGTCCAAAATTCATAAGATGCTTAAGGGGACTTCACATCTCTCTGTCACCCCTAATAAAACGGCACCATGTAAAATGTCCTGTTATCCCCATGCAAGGAAATGGTATTTTAAAAGCACTCTATTTCACTACAGATTAGAGCAGTGACATTTCTGTCTCAATTTATCAATTCATTCCTAAAGCGCTGCCTTTTTTAGCTTTTTGTTTTGTTTCTACTTGGTGTGGCTCCTTCAGTTGTACAGCTGCAAGAGATGAAGGGAAGCTCCCTCTTCCCTTCTGTGCTCTCTTGTTGCAGAATCACAGCCCTACAGCTGGGCTAGTGGCAGAAGTATTATCAGCCTACAGAACATTTTCCTTCCCATAGCTGTCTTGATTGCAAATTTCAAAAGCCTCTAAGAAAGCCAAGTAGCCAACTCCAACTGAAAATCAATAGATCTGGGACATGTGCGTTCCCTACATGCCCTGGGAAATCAACTCCGCTTCCCTATTGAGGATCCTAGTTAGCCTGTGACATATACAACCCAGAGATTGAATGCAGCTGAGATTAAGGACAGCAGCTCATCATCTGCCATAGTGCGCACATTCGAGTCATTTACATAGCTGCTCATACATACAACATAAAGCCTAAATCTGTAAGTGTGTTATGGAGATCTTAGGCATTCCTGTTCTGGAAGCAGCAAAGTTCAGATTCTTTCATTTAATTTTCAGTAGTATGTAGGTCAATATCTAGAAGACTCCAGGTCCCATCTGACAAAACAGTAGTAACTTACAGTCCCAAGAACCTCAATGAAACTGAACATTTTTATCCCCTTTATTCAATCATTGGCTGATCATTTATATTTCCACAAAAAAAGGCAGCACTGACAAGTTTTTATTACATATTAAGCACCTTACATTAGAAAGTAGGACTGCTTTTAGGTTCATAAGAACTTTAATGAAGGGTTCCATTGCCTTCTGGCTCCTGTTGGACATAATAATTTTAGTGATGATATCTGATACTAAAGTTTCTCAGAAAACAGAAAATTCAGAGAAAATCAACAGGTGTAAAATCTCTAAGCAGCTGAAGCATCCTCCCTTTAAGATGATTGGAAGAGCAAGGTGTTGGACATGTTGGCACTCATCTCTGGCAGCATCATCCTCCTATTCCATGACATACAATTATCTTCAATTTGGAAAGCCAGACTGCTACCATCACCAAATACATTAAATAAAACATTAATTCAAATGGTACAACAGCTACTGCCTCAGCTATACATAAAGTTACCAACAGTGCAAAAGAAACAAAGGCTCGTTAACACTTTGCAAGCATGTACGTATCAAAGTGCCCATACAATATTCAACAAATACAGTACCCTTGTGTTGATGGATCCATCTGAAAGATTACAATCTAAACCAATAACTTTCCTGTCCTCAGCTAACTTCCCCACTAAAGCACTTATTTTACTACACTCTACTCCTATACATAGGCAGCTTTTTTTGTAATTCCACTTAATGCCATCAGAGATCAGAATATGCACCCTTAGTATTCAACACATCGCAGAGTACAATAAGCCTAAGTGCCATACCCTATAAAAAATTATTTCTTTGCTGTCACTTTGAAAGAAGTAAAAAAAAAAAAAAAGAATAAATCACCTACAGATACTTGGCACAACATTTTTGTGGTTGTTTTTTTCCCTGTGCTCTGTCTTAAACACAGCCACCTCCAGCTGATGCCTGCTCTCTTTGACTCTTAAGAAACTATTTTAATCTAAGAGTCCAAGCTGCTCTAAGGTACAAAGCAATGTGAGAAATGTCTTTAACAGAAAGTAGCTATTTGCAGTATAATAGGATACTTATGTAGGACCATGACACCTTCCCAAAAGCTATCCTTCAAAAAACAGAAGTTATATCTAGTAAAAGACACTGGGAACGTATAGGGTTACCCAGAAGAAATGTAGTGGTCTGTGGATACAAACAGTGAGATTCATTACTTCTGGCCTTACTGTCTATGAAACTGTCTCAGATCACTTACTCAGCCTTTACTGCGCAACCAGTCATTTCAAAATGACAAGAAATAATTCCATCAAACCTTTACCAAAATAAAGGCATGAAGTCACTATACAGTGTGGCTTTTTTTGGTTTTGTTTATTTGTTGTATTGTGTACTTAAAGAAAACATGCTCTAACATTCAAACAATTAAAGTCTCCATTTGGCAGCTTCTAATGTTAGCTCCTTAGTGTCTCCTTATGCAACTAAATGACAAATGAAAATAAATGAGCCAATAAAATGAATTCAAATGGACACAAACAAAACACAGTTCTAATGTAAAGACTAATTTATATAAAATGTAAATGAAATCTTCAATAGCAATTTTCACATTACAGATTAAACCCAACTGCTTTCTATTAATGAAGAAAGGTCAGTTTAGTATGAAGAGTTTTAAGAATTGATTTTGCCTACTGTGTATCATA